TTTCTCGGATACTCCATCCACCCCCTCCAAGCCCAGGAATCTCCTTCCCCAGTTCCCTGGCAGACCCCAAATCAGGGAATTTCTGAATCCTGGTGGAAAATGCCTCATTCCGTGTCAGAATGGGAGCCCTGGAATGTTTTCCGTGTCACGGGGCCCTTCCTCATCCGTGTCGGCGTCATGGGAATTTTCCTTCAGCCGTTCTTCCCCTTTAGGAATGGGGTGAACGTGGCGGTCTTCCCCCCCTAATTTCAGGATCCCTTTTCCCTTTTAGGAATGGGGTGAAATTTGAGCGGTCCCCTCCTAATTTCAGGATCCCTTTCTCTTTAGGAACAGGGTGAACTTTGAGGAATCCTCCCCTAATTTCAGGATCCCATTTCTCTTTTAGGAACAGGGTGAACATAGAGGGCTCCCGCCTAATTTCAGGATCCCATTTCCTTTTAGGAACGGAGTGAATTTTGAGGTCTCCCCCTTATTTTGGGATCCCTTTTTCCCATTTCCTTTTAGGAACGGGGTGAATGTGGAGGGCTCTCCCCCCTGATTTCAGGGTCACTCCCATGTCCCATTCCTTTAGGAACGGGGTGAACGTAGAGGGTTCTCCCCCTAATTTTGGCCTCTCCCCAATCCCATTTCCCTTTTAGGAACGGGGTGAATGTTGAGCGCTCTCCCCCTAATTTCAGGATCCCATTTTCCTTTAGGAATGGGATGAACGTGGAGGGCTCTCCCCGTAATTTGAGGATCCCTTTCCCCTTTAGGAATGGTGTGAACGTGGAGGTCTCTCCCCCTAATTTTGGGATCCCTTTTTCCCATTTCCCCTTTAGGAACGGGGTGAACTTTGAGCACTCTCCCCTAATTTTGGGATCCCTTTTTCCCATTTCCCTTTTAGGAACAGGGTGAACGTGGAGGGCTCTCCCCCTAATTTCAGGATCCCTTTTTCCCATTTCCCTTTAGGAAAGGGGTGAACATTGAGGGTTCTCCCCCTAATTTCAGGATCCCTTTTTCCCATTTCCCCTTTAGGAACGGGGTGAACATTGAGGGTTCTCCCCCTAATTTCAAGATCCCATTTCCCTTTAGAAATGGAGTGAACATGGAGGGCTCTCCCCCTAATTTTGGGCTCCCTTTTTCCCATTTCCTTTTAGGAATGGGGTGAATTTTGAGGGTTCTCCCCGTAATTTCAGCATCCCTTTTTCCCATTTCCCTTTAGGAACGGGGTGAACTTTGAGCATTTTCCCCTAATTTCAGCATCCCTTTCTTTTAGGAACAGGGTGAACGTGGAGGTCTCTCCCCCTAATTTCGGGATCCCTTTTTCCCATTTCCCTTTTAGGAACGGGGTGAACTTTGAAGGTTCTCCCTCTAATTTCAGGATCCCTTTTTCCCATTCCCTTTTAGGAACGGGGTGAATTTTGAGGATTCCCCTCTAATTTCAGGATCCCTTTTTCCCATTTCCCTTTAGGAACGGGGTGAACGTGGAGGGTGCCACGCACAAGCAGGTGGTGGATCTGATCCGCGCGGGCGAGAAGGAGCTGATCCTGACGGTGCTGTCGGTGCCGCCGCACGAGGCCGAGAGCCTGGACCCCGCCGACGACTCGCTGGGCCAGGCCTTCTACGACTACAGCGAGAAACAGGCGGTGCCCATCTCCATCCCCACCTACAAACACGTGGAGCAGAACGGGGAGAAGTTCGTGGTGAGGGGTTATTCCCACCTGGAATAGTGGGGAAAATCTGGAAAATTCTGCTGTTCACACGAGCCGGTGGTTGGGAATTGGTGTTTCCCCAAAATAGCGGTTTTTTTGCCTAAAATAGAAGGATTTTCCCTTCAAATTGGCAGGTTTTATCAYTGAAGTAGCTGGGTTCCTCTTCAAAATAGAAGGATTTTTCACCCAAAATAGAAGGATTTTTCACCCAAAATAGAAGGATTTTTCACCCAAAATAGAAGGATTTTTCACCCAAAATAGAAGGATTTTCTCCCCAAATTGGCAGATTTTGTCACTAAATTGGCAGATTTTGTCACTAAAGTAGCAGTATTATTCCTCAAAATAGAAAGATCGCCATCCCCACCTACAAACACGTGGAGCAGAACAGAGAGAAGTTCGTGGTGAGGGGTTATTCCCACCCGGAATTGCGGGCAAAATGCGGAAAATTCCGCCGTTCACACGAGCCGGTGGTTGGGAATTGGTGTTTCCTCAAGATAGCATTTTTTTTCCTAAAATAGAAGGATTTTACCCCCAAAATTGGCAGGTTTTATCACTGAAATAGCTGGGTTCCTTTTCAAAATAGAAGGATTTTTCACCCAAAATAGAAGGATTTTTCACCCAAAATAGAGGGATTTTTCACCCAAAATAGAAGGATTTTTCACCCAAAATTGGCAGATTTTGTCACTAAAGTAGCAGTATTATTCCTCAAAATAGAAAAATCTCCATCCCCACCTACAAACACGTGGAGCAGAACGGAGAGAAGTTCGTGGTGAGGGGTTATTCCCGCCTGGAATCGCGGGCAAAATCAAAAAAATTCTGTGATTTGCCCAAGAACGTTGTTGGGAATTGGTGTTCCCCTGAAATAGTGGGTTTTTCACCTAAAATAGAGGGATTTTCCCCCCAAAATTGGCAGGTTTTGTCGCTAAAGTGCAGGATTATTCCTCAAAATAGAAAGATCTCCATCCCCACCTACAAACATGTGGAGCAGAACGGAGAGAAGTTCGTGGTGAGGGGTTGTTCCTGCCCGGAATTGCGGGCAAAATCCAGAAAATTACGCCGTTCACACGAGCCGGTGGTTGGGAATTGGTGTTTCCCCGAAATAGTGTTTTTTTTGTCTAAAATAGAAGGATTTTCCCTTCAAATTGGCAGGTTTTATCACTGAAGTAGCTGGGTTCCTCTTCAAAATAGAAGGATTTTTCACCCAAAATAGAAGGATTTTTCACCCAAAATAGAAGGATTTTTCACCCAAAATAGAAGGAGTTTTCACCTAAAATAGAAGGATTTTCTCCCCAAATTGGCAGATTTTGTCACTAAAGTAGCAGTATTATTCCTCAAAATAGAAAGATTTCCATCCCTACCTACAAACACGTGGAGCAGAACCGAGAGAAGTTCGTGGTGAGGGGTTGTTCCTGCCCGGAATCGTGGGGAAAATCCGGAAATTTTCACGGTTTGCCCAAGAACGTTGTTGGGAATTGGTGTTCCCCTGAAACAATGGGTTTTTCACGTAAAATAGAAGGATTTTCCCTTCAAATTGGCAGGTTTTATCACTGAAGTAGCTGGGTTCCTCTTCAAAATAGAAGGATGAAAAGTAGAAGGATTTTTCAGCTAAAATAGAAGGATTTTTCAGCTAAAATAGAAGGATTTTTCAGCTAAAATAGAGGGATTTTTCACCTAAAATAGAAGGATTTTCCCCCCAAAATTGGCATTTTTTGTCGCTGAGGTAGCAGGGTTCTTCTTCAAAGTAGAAGGATCTCCATCCCCACCTACAAACATGTGGAGCAGAACGGGGAGAAGTTCGTGGTGAGGGGTTATTCCCACCGGGCAAAATCTGGAAAATTCCGCATTTCGCACGAGCTGGTGGTTGAGAATTGGTGTTTCCCCAAAACAGCAGTTTTTTTGCCTAAAATAGAAGGATTTTCCCCCCAAAATGGCAGGTTTTGTCGTTAAAGTAGCAGGATTATTTTTCAAAATAGAAGGATTTTCCCCAAAATAGGGATTTGCGGTGGGAATCTCATGGGAACGAGTGTGGGGCAGGAATCCCTATAGGAAAGGGTTTGGGATGGTAATTCCAAAACAGGGCCATGGCAAACATTTGGAAATGATTTTTTTAATTTTTGGGGAATTTCTGTGAATTTCCAGGAGTTTTTGGGAATTTATTTGGGAATATTTGGGAACACCCATTCCCGTTTTTCCCAGGTGTACAACGTTTACATGGCTGGGCACCAGCTGTGCTCCAAGCGGTACCGGGAATTCGCCACTTGGAGATTTTTGGAGAATGTCCATGAATATTTTGGGAATATTTTGGGAATATTTTGGGAATATTTGGGAACACCCATTCCCGTTTTTTCCCAGGTGTACAACGTTTACATAGCCGGGCGCCAGCTGTGCTCCAAGCGGTACAGGGAATTCACTGCTTGTAATTTTGGGGAATATTTGGAGAATGTCCATGAATATTTTGGGAATATTTTGGGAATATTTTGGGAATTTTCAGGCTCACTCCCATTTTCCCCAGGTGTACAATGTTTACATGGCCGGGCGCCAGCTGTGCTCCAAGCAGTACCGGGAATTCGCCATTCTGGAATATTTTGGGAATATTTTAGAATATTTTGGGAATATTTTGGGAA